AAGCTAGCAAGAAGGGGGAGAGTTGGTGATCCAGAAAGAGGAACTTGGTTTTTTTCAGGCTAACCCCCATCTGGGCTTTGGATCCATTCTCTCCTGCCTCCTCGGTAACCTTGTTCTTTCAATTTTGTCCATTCTGCTGTCTTTTCAATCTCACCTTCTTTACTAGCTTCTTCCCAAAAGAACTGAAACATACATGAAGCCTTCCAGGTTGAAGTCAACCCTTCTTGGATCCTGTGTCCCCTCTAGCTATTGTCCATTTGGCGGCTGCCCAGCACTCTGTAGAAACCATCTCAAGCCCTCAGTGACCTCAGATTGATAAACTCAGTTCACATTTGAGTCCACATCTTGCTTGATCTCTATATCACTTAGGAATGCTTTGGACTGCAAGTAACTGTCTTAGCATGGCTTAAACAAACAGGAGCTCTCCCCACATAACAAGCTACCTGGAGGCAGGCAGCTGCTGGTGCTGGTTTGGCCACTCCATGGCATTGGGGCAGTCTTTCTGAAGTTCTCCACAACTTCCCTTCATGGTTGGAGGATGCCTGTTGAGGCATTGCATCCCCATTCAGAAAAAAAAAGGTCTGCTTTTATCAGAAAAGCAAAAGATTCCCCAAGTTCCCTGTATGTATTACACCTAGAACTCTGTCACATGGTCATGTAGCTCCAAAAAAAGATGGAAAAGTTGGTGCTTAATGTTTTTTAGCCTCTACTGTGGAGTGAAGGGGTCGAAAATTGTAAACTGGGTTGTTACCCAGTGTAATCACGGGGTGCAGTCCTCTAGTTACATGAAATTTATGTACACCTCTCTTTCACATACACACATTTTACATGGAATGCACTCACTCTTCCACAGAGGAGATAACACTGAATTCTCACCAGCTCCTACACATAGCTTAGAGTCCAGGTACTCTGTGTAGTGTGCAGGCCCCTCTTTCAGGTCCAGACGTGGCTTCTCATGGTCTGGTAATTTAAGCTAAAAAACAAGTTTTTTTCTAAAATGTAAAAGATGAAAAGTACCAAGTAGTGGGGAGGGTGTGAAACAATAGAACTATCCTATGCTCCTGCTGGAGTTTATATTGACACAATCACTTGGGAAAACTTTTGACAGCATCTGATAAAGCTGAACATCTGCATTGTAGAACATGTCTTCTGTTGCACCTAACAGCAATGTCAACAGCTGTCAACAGAAGACACGTTCTACAATGTTCAAAGTAGCATTATTTGTAATAGCCTGTAATAGTCCATTTTCTGTGGTTTACAACAGAATACATGAAACTGGATAATTTATAAAGAAAAGGAGTTTATTTCTTACAGTTATGGAGGCTGACAAGTCCAAGGTTGAGGGGCCACATCTGGTGAGGCCTTATTGCTGATGGGAACTCTCCGCAGAGTCCTGAGGCAGTGCAGGGCATCACATGTTGAGGGGGCTGAGAACATTAGTTCGGGTCTCTCTTCCTCTTCTTATAAAGCCACTAGTCCCATTCCTGTGATAACCCATTAATCCATTAACCTGTTAATCCATGAATGGATGAGTCCACTCATGAGGGCAGAGCCTTCATGATCCAATTACCTCTCAAAGGCCACACCTCTCAATACTGATACATTGGAAATTAAATTTCAACATGAGTTTTGGAGGGGACAAATATTCAAATCATAGCATAGCCTAAAACTGGAAATCACTTAGGTGTCCATTAATGGTAGAATGAATAATATGAATATATTATATATCAAAACAATGGAATAGCCCACCAAAATGAAAATAAATCATCTAAAATTATGCCCAACATGGATGAATCTCAAAATAATGTTGAGCAAAAGAAGCCATAGACAAGAGTATGTATACCGTGATTCTATTTATATAAAATACAAAAACAGTTAAAATTGCCCTGTGGTGTTAAAAGTCAGGATAGCAGGTCCCTTTAGGGGAGAGGGTGGTTCTTTGTAAGACAGCACAACAGAGACTCCTAGGGTGTGGGTGTTGTTCTGTTTCTTGATCTGGGTGCTAGTCATATGGAAGTATTCAATTTCTGAAAATTTACTGAGCTGTACACTTTTCTATACGTGCACTTTTCTGCGTATACTATATCACAATAAAATGTAAAATAAAAAAGCATATTTAATGTGCGTGAAGAAACAACAGAAGCTTCCATTCAGAGAAAAAGAGAATGGAAAACATAGTATATCCTGGCCAAAAAACCACATCCAACCCTGCTGGACAGAAATAGCAGTTTCTTCCATGGCAGTGTATTAAGTTCTGGGTTGGAGAATCTGGAAGCCCTGCTCTTGTTCTTTCCTTTGGTTGTACAGAATCCATACCTTTTGCATCCCACTCCCTGTTGGAGGGAACTCTGGGGTTCAGGGATTACGATAAAGTTGAACAGCAACAGACTGTTGTTGACCAGGCTTGAGATTTTAGGGACAGAGGCTTCCCTCAATCATTTGTTAGACTTCTGGTAAATTCCATGTATAGTAATCACAATCAAATAACTTATCTAAACGGTCGTCAAATTGTTTTTATTAAATATTTTTTCAATTTATGTTTTCCAAATAAGTAACACACAATTTACAAAATCAAAGTAATACTAAAAGGTGTAAATTGAAGTCCAATTCTCACTCCTGTTCTCATCCACCCTGGAATCCAATGCACAGGCAAAACATTGTTTTGAGACAATTCAAAACAACAGCTGAAAAAAGAGATGCCACCTAAAAGCCATCTGGCTACCTGAGGCTTCCATCTTACCTCCTAATAAAACTGCCTCTTCTCTGTCTCCACTCATGCTGTTTCAGCTTAGATACAAAAAATAAATGGGGTATTTCAACCCAGCGAGGCTCCAAGTTATGGGACTCTTGGCCAATTTAAATTGCGTCTAAATGATATCTAAAGCACAGGACTAGATGAAGTCACATAGGGAGAGTGGGCAGAGAAGGTGACTCAGGACAGATCCCTGGGCACCTTGATAGTTATATGTTGAGCAGAGGATGAGAAGCCAGTTAAACAGGCCAAGAAAGAATAATCAGTGAAGTAGGAGGACCAAGAGTGTGTGCTGTCAGAAAACAAGGGAAGAGAATGTTTCCAAGTGAAAGTGGTTGACTGTGACAAAACAGTGTTGAGAGGGCAGGTAAAATTAAAACACTGAACCAAGAGACCACTGGATTTGCATGGAGATTGCAGTTTCAGTAGCATAGAGGGGAAGAAACCAGAAAGCAATCTTGTATGACCTGGTAGAGAGGAAGCAGTTGGTTACTCAAGACAGAGATGACAGAGGATAATATCCATATAAAAAGTATATGCATTGATTAAATAGAATGAGGACACTTTATCCATCTACCAGGCACTGAGCTTCTTGAAGCAATCATATGTTCCCTGTATCTCTAGTAGCTCCTAAAATAGTTGCTAGTACATAGAAGTTACTCAAGAAATATCACTGAATTAATGAATAAATGAACACAGGAAGGGATGGATAAATGGATGGACAGATGGATGAATGGCAGGTGCAGAGCGGGTGAACGAACTAATCAAACTAACCCAAACTTCGCAGTAAGGAAAGGAGAAGGGGTCTTGAATTCATAGGGTCTCCTCAGAATTTACGGATTCTTTTTTTTATTTTTTATTTATTTTATTTTTTTTGAGACAGAGTCTCACTTTGTTGCCCAGGATAGATTGAGTGCCTTAGCGTCAGCCTAGCTCACAGCAACCTCAAACTCCTGGGCTCACGCAATCCTTCTGCCTCAGCCTCCTGAGTAGCTGGTACTACAGGCATGTGCCACCATGCCTGGCTAATTTTTTCTATATATTTTTAGTTGGCCAATTGATTTCTTTCTATTGTTTACTAGCGATAGGGTCTTGCACTTGCTCAGGCTGGTTTCGAACTCCTGACCTTGAGCGATCCACCCACCTCGGCCTCCCAGAAGAATTTACGGATTCTGAGACTTTTCTCTGGGATAGAGTTGACAGATTTTAATCTCAGATGAAGGTGGGAGAATAGATGAGGCAGTTAATGGTAGTGGTGTTGGCCAACAGACCAAGGCACTGGTTTATTACAACAAACTGCAAGAAGGGTTCTCTGATCATCTACCTACTTAATCATTTTCTTTCTGTCTCTTCTTTTCTGGATCCAGACTCATGAAAAACGATTATGTATTTTATTGACACAAATGGGAAAAGGGATTTGAAAAATGACAGTCCTACATGCATTTATCCATCTAGTCAATAGATACTTACTGAATGACAATCTTGTATAGCAGCAAAGGTGTAAGGGCGGGATTATATAGGGATTATCTATTCGTTTCCTTTATTTGTTCATGGGCCTGCTTTTAAGTGCTTTATCTTCTCTTGAATGATAAAAGCAGCTGATTTCACGAACTGTACAGGTAAGGCAGTATTTGAAGTGGGTCGCCCTTAAAGTCTTGGTGGCACTCGTACGTGGAAGTGAATGGGATTGAGCTGACACAGCTTGTGGAACGGAGCAAGAAACTGGAAGTAGACAATCTTAAAAACGCAGGATCCACGGCCGGCTCCAGCATCTTCTAGGCTTTCATTAGAGAGAAATTAGGATTCCTGTTATCTTTCTTCCCAACCCGCAGTTGGAAGAACCGCAGGACCTGAACGAAAGACCCGGTGTAGGTGAGCGGCAGGCGGAGCTGGAAGCCAGTTCTGGAGTCCGCCCCATCCGGATCCGCCATCCTACGTCGAACTAGGTTCCAGAAGGCTTCCGGAGTTGCCTGGCAACGCGCCGGGCCCCTAAGGGTTCCAGGGGCCCACCAGCCGGGGCTGGAGCCAAGTGTCGCCCTCGGGAAGGCAGGTAGAGAACTGAGTCTGCCCGAGCGGTGCTGGGCGCCTGCCCGCTACACGTGGACTCACGAGAGCCGTTCCCTCCTCTCGCCGCGGGACAGGGGCGGAGCCCCTCGGCGCCAATGGGCGGGCTGCAGGGAGTGCGCGTGCGCAGGGCTGGCTGAAGGGGTGGGCGGGGCCGAGGAAGAGCGTTCTGGGGACGGGGGCTGACGAGGCTCATGCCGGAGGGCTTCGCATCTGCTGCGGGGACCGTGAGAGAGAGTGGACCAGCTAGCCGCGGAGCCCGACCCTGGCTGTGGAGGTCCGTGAGTGGCACTGAGTTGTCGCAGCGGGAAGGAATCTCGGTGTCCCTTTTGGATACTCGGGCTCAGGATGGGAGGCAGGAGTGGTCTGGGTGGGGGGATCGGCCCCCCGGCCGGCTCAGGACGCTTAGCCGGCTAGGAGCACGGCCTGTCTTCTGGGGCGGAATCCCGTGTCCCCGCCGCGCGCTTTGGAGCCAGACAGGTCCGGCCGGCCCATCTTCTCCCTCTTCGCTGGCCCCTGGGGCTCCCAGGACCTGCCTGTGGGACCAGCTGAGCCGGGCGGATACTGCCTCTGGGCGGGTCCAAAAGCCTTGGGCTAGAGTCGGCATTACTCTCCCTCTGCCGCTGGTTGCCCCATCTTCCTGGGGGGTAGACCACGGGTCCTGTCCGTCCCGGGAGAAGTTGGCTGGGCTGTGATGGGGCAGAGGAGTGGGAAGGCGGGGGGAAGCTGATTGCCTCTTGTATTCCCTCACCGGGCATTGACACCGCCATCCACCCAGGTGCCCAAGCCAGAAACCTGGGCATCATTCTCACCTTCTCCCTCTCATATTGAATCCATCGCAAAGCTGTCTTGGATATGTTCACTTCCCCACTCCCATCCCTCTGCCTTGCCTACTTCAGGCCACTATTTCTCTCTCTTCTGGGCTACCCCACTTGCTTCCTTACTGATCTCTTGCATCCCTTCTTGATCCTCTGTAGTCTGTTTTGTACAGGGAAGCTAGACCCATGGTCTTAAAACAGAAGTCCGATCAGAACCCTCTCCTCATCCCCTTTCTGGCCTTCAGTGGATTCCCATTGCTTTTCCTAATTCTTGAACAGGGCTGTTAAATCCCTTCATGACCTGACCTCCTTTAATTTATAGACTCATGTGACTGCAATAGACAGTGTCTTGAACCATATGGAATCTTTTTTAGTTCCTAGATTGGAACAAGTTCCCTCTGGGCTTACCTGTTCTTTACAATATGTTCCTTCAGCTTGAGGCACTATCATTTGGTTGAAATAATCCTTATCCTTCAAATATCACTTCAGGTATGAGTTGGGGCTTCTGCAGTATATTATGGGTGTCTATTTACTGGTCTCTCTTTTCCACCAGGCTGTATTCTGTATGAGAGAAATCTGCCTGGATCACAGTACTAACCTCAGTACGTTGAGCTGTTAGCATGTTACCTGGATCTTAGTATGTCAGTTAAATGTATAAATGAATCATAGCTGCTCCTATAAACAAATAGATCAAGTTATTAAATTCCTGCTTATTCAGAACAATTCTCAACTCTTAGCCCATGAAGAGGTTTCTTTAGCCTAGAAACTTGCTTATTTTCTTGCCTTCAGTCCAGGACCATGGCAGGGTTAAATGGGAAAGTACCAGAGTTTTTCTCTGGCATTGACTCTGGGTACAGGAAGTCTGGATGCTGGTGAGTTTGGCTGTTTGGAATTTGAATTCTTTTATTTATTTATTTATTTATTTATTTATTTATTTAGAGACAGGGTTTTGCTCTGTTGCCTAGGCTAGAGTACAGTGGTGTCATCATAGCCCACTGCAACCTCAAACTCCTGGGCTCAAGCAATCCTCCTGCCTCAGCCTCCTGAGTAGCTGGGACTACAGCTGCATGCCACCATGCCCGGGTAATTTTCTTACTTTTGGTAGAGACGGAATCTCACTATGTTGCTCGGGCTGGTTTCAAACTCCAGGCTTCAAGCAGTCCTTCTGCCTCAGCCTCCCAAAGTGCTAGAATTATAGGACCACACCTGGCTGAATTTGAATTCTTAGCCAAGGATCCCGGGCCTGGGAGAAAAGCTGCTACCAGCTGCTGGCAGGAAGCCTGGCTCTAAACTCTTATGTGCTGATAGGGCTAATTACACACTGAGAGGAAAGGGTGGGCCAAACCACTGGAGGGAGGGAAGTTCCAGTTTAGGCTACCTCCATTGTGATAGAGAATAATACTCCTAGGTGCCAGGACCCACTGCACTGATTCAGACATGAGCCAGGGCTCAGTAGGGTACTTGAGAGAGAAGGCAGGGCCCTGGCCCTGCCAGGGAAGAAAAGAGGAAAATGGAAGAGAAGAACAATATGTGACTGTATATCGAGGTCAAATAAGTATGAGAGGTTACAGACTGAGGTCAGAGAAGGGAGCAATTGGTGTTGGCTGGAAGAATCCTCAGGTGACATTTGAATCTGATCTGGAAGGAAGGGAGAGGACAGACAAATGGAGCAAAGCCTGTGGGACAGGAAAAGGCTGCCGAGCAGGAGAGGAACCCTTTTGGAGCCAGGGCACTATTGGAGGTCCGATACTTCCCTCCCAGGACTGTCGCTGTTTCTTGTGAGGGGTGTCTCTAGGCATGGGTGGTGTTCTGAAATCCCTTTGCAGAAATCTCTCCTCCCTTGGATTTTTCTCCAGCCTGGCCTTTATAATTTCCTGAACAAGGCCATTGAGCTCTGGAACTCCCAGGATTTTATCTTCAGGCTCTTTGCCCATGGCCTTGAGCTAAGTAGTTGGAGTGTGGATGATGCAACTTGTTCTTTGGGCAGGAGGGAGTTGCTTATGTTTCCTTTTGACTGTGAGCAGTTTAGTTTGTTAGGTGGCAGTCAGATTCCCTGTTTTCAATGCAGCGGCTTGAAGGGACTTTTTTCTTCGTGTTATAGGTTTCATTTTGTTGTGTTCCAATGGCTAGAAACCTGTTAACAGCAAACCAAAGTGGAACAAGTTCAAAATGAATGGTTCCTTTATCCTGCCTCCTTTGAAGAAGGGATAATTGGGACCCAGAGTTACTATATGATTAGTGACTTGGTTGCTTTTTGGTGTTATCCGAATAGAACCCACCATCCCCACCTTCACACACACACACACACACACACACACACACCAAATTGGTGTACTAAGCATCTGACCACATAGTTAGAGGAAATGCTGCCATGAGTTCAGTGATCACTCAGTTCAACTATCTGTCTCTCTAATAGACATCTCCAAAAGAAAAGTTTTATTCTCAGTTATGTCAACATTAAAACTTGGCAGCCTATCTGAAAAGGTCCTAATCCCCCCAGCTCTCCAAGGACCATGGCAACCTCTGTGCCAGGCATTGTGCCCAATGCTGGGAATGTGGATTCAGTCCCTGCCCTCTCATGCCCTAGTCCAGCAAGGAGCAGTAACAAATAATCAGGCAGTTTTCAAGAATTCGTTCACAGCTGTCATCAGTGATGCACAGGAGCCTTCTGAAGGGCAGCAATGGTAGCTTATGGGAAGAATACCTAAGCCAGACTTGGAATTGAAGGAGTCTTGCTAGAGAAAGAGACATTTCATGTGAATGAGTCTGAAAAGCTTGGGAGGAACTGGATTCCCTTCTCTGGTCTCTTCTGTCCCAGAACTCTAAGATATGTGGTCAGAACAAGTTCTCTTCTGGCCTAGGCAGTCACCGCTAGGAGTAACTTGAGACCTTGTTTGCTAGTACAAGGTACAGGGGCAGTGGCCTTGTCAGGGTCTAACGCTTTCATTTAGTAAAATTGGAAGTGTAGTTTCTAGCTGTTCCTGAATTATTTTCTGGAGATAAGAACTAATTAGAAATACCTTTTTAAAAATCCCATCTATATAGTATTGGAACAGAATTATAGGATAGATTACATTAAGTACATATTTGTGAAGAAAAATATGTTTATTGTAGAAATTTTAAAAGCAATTGAAAAGAAAGAAAGTCACAATCCTAATCTCATGACTGAAGATAATCTTTGTTAACAGTTTTTAGTCATTGTTTTGTATGTGAAATATGCATACTTTTTTTTTTTTTACAAAAGCAAATTATTCTTTTTAAAAATCTATTTATTTATTTATTTTTGAGACAGAGTCTCACTTTGTTGCCCAGGCTAGAGTGCGTGCTGTGGCATCAGCCTAGCTCACAGCAACCTCAAACTCCTGGGCTTGAGTGATCCTTCTGCCTCAGCCTCCCGAGTAGCTGGGACTACAGGCATGCGCCACCATGCCCAGCTAATTTTTTATATATATATCAGTTGGCCAATTAATTTCTTTCTATTTATAGTAGAGACGGGGTCTCGCTCTTGCTCAGGCTGGTTTCGAACTCCTGACCTCGAGCAATCTGCCCACCTTGGCCTCCCAGAGTGCTAGGATTACAGGCGTGAGCCACCGCGCCTGGCCTGCAAATTATTCTTTATAGACTTTTGCAGCCTGTTCATATTGAACATCTTTTCCTATCGTTAAGTATGACAGATTTCATTTTGATGTTATTGTTCAGTGGTAAGACTAGATGCTGCTGTTTAGCAACCTGAAAATTACATTACACTCTGAGGGACTAGTGTCCCCTTTAAGGAGGGGCCATAGGAGGTAACAATACTGATGGGCAAAATGGGTTTGGGAAATTTTTCTAAACATTGTAGTGTGGCATACTCTCAAGGTCCTACCTACCTGAGAGCCTTTTAGGATGGGTGAGGAGGGCTCTAACACCTCTCCTTCCCAGCCCCAGCCTAGCCCCAGCCCCTGGCCCCAGGCACAGAGAGTAGAGATAGCAGCAGTTTCTGATCTGAGCTCTGTGTGCTGTGTGTGAGCTATGACTGGTACCTTGTGCTATATCTTTACTGCTATAAGTTTGGGGCTGTGCGCTACAATTGGCCCATTAGAAATCACCGCTAACAATGACCCTTGTTATCAGGCAGAATCTGTTCTTATTTTGGGGAAGTAAATGTCAGAGTATTAATATGTAGGTCTCCTGGCTATCTTTCACTATCTTTTTTGAGGTCAGTCTATAAGCCCTAGGGAGGACCAGAACTTTCAGTTGAACCAACAGTTACTGAAGGCCTGCCTGACCCTGGGTGGGGAATACTGATGGAGACAAAGTACTCCCTGCCCTCAGGGAGCTTGCTCTGTAGCTGACTATATTGCCTTGCTGACCACAATTCCAAGGGTAGCCAAATCCTGGGAGTACTTGCTGGACTTCTAATTTCTCTGTAACTTTCTAGTGCTTTCTCACGTGGTTACTTGCACTATCACAGCCCTGGGAGGTGGAAGAGGAGGAGTTAATGTGTCCACTGCTGCAGGCCTTGATCTGACTCTCTTACTGCTACCATGTTCCTGCCTCTGGTCCTGTCTTCACCACTTCATACCTTCCCCACTGTGTGGCCAGATGAGTCATTCTGAAGCCAAGCTCTGATCCCATCTCTCGTTCACAACTTGTTAGTGACTCCCCATTTATCCTCAGGAATGTCAAACCCCGGGCCTAGTGTGCAAAGCCATGTCCACTGCGGCCTGTTCAACCTTTGCAGCCCACTCCCCTTCTGTCTACTTCATATCCTCTAGGCTCCAGCCCTACTAAACTATGGGTAGATCCTTTCCCACTTGAGGGCACCTGCCACTCTATTCCCACATTCCCGATGTCCCTGCACATGTGTCCAGGCCAGCTGAAGTGTCCCACCAGGTCTGTTGCCTTCTCTGATTTTCCTTCACCCAGAGGAAACTTCTTCCCTCCAATTCCCAGAGGGTTTTTTCTTTCTCTAGTACACCTCACTTTCTGCCTTTCTTTGAGCTCTTGGCAGAAAGCATTGCTCTCAGTGGACTGTAAGTTTCTGTTAGGCAAGAATAATCTTTGAATCCCTTTAAGCTCTCACAGAGTTGCTTGGCACTCTGAAGGTGCTTCAGGGAATGTCATTTGGTGATGGGGACCTGGAGTGCCCAGGGTCATCCCACAGTCTAGTAGCAGAGCTGGCCGTGGGCTAGTTCAGCGCGTTCTCTTCCCTAACCTCGCTGCTCCCTCAGGTTTCCCAGGAGCATACTGTGACAAGTCTTTTTCTTTTTTTTGAGACAGAGTCTGGCTCTGTTGCCCTGGCTAGAGTGCCATGGCATCGGCTTAGCTCACAGCAACCTCAAAGTCCTGAGATCAAGTGATCCTTCTGCCTCAGCCTCCCGAGTAGCTGGGACTACAGGCATGCACCACCATGCCCAGCTAATTTTTTTCTATATGTTTTTAGTTGGCAAATTAATTTCTTTCTATTTATAGTAGAGACAGGTCTCACTCTTGCTCAGGCTGATTTCAAACTCCTGACCTTGAGTAATCTGCCCTCCTCAGCCTCCCAGAGTGCTAGGATTACAGGCGTGAGCCACTGCGCCCAGCCTGTGACAAATCTTGAAAGAAACTTTCACTCTGTTGCTCTGTGTTCATCTTCTGTGATTCCTATCTTACAGATATCGGTGACCATGAGATCCCTGTGGCTGCTGAGAACCCCCTTCCTGTGCAGCCTGCTCTGGGCCTTCTGCACCCCAGGTGCCAGGGCTGAGGGGCCTGGGGCCGGCTCCTCCCACCCCAGCAATGTGGGCCTGGATAAGAATGCGGTACACGACCAAGAGTACGTATTCAGCTGGGGCTGTGGTCTCGGGGCCTCTCCACCACCTGCAGCTGCGAGGGCACACTCACTCCTCCTTTCCTTCCCCCTATTTATATGGCTCCTAGACATTGTTCAAGGGTGATATTTATTCCTTATAGCCACCTATAAGCCAGGTGTTCTTTTTTCATCAACCTGTCACAGATGGAGGATCTTGAAGCCCAAATGGGACAAATTACTTGTCAGAATCTAGTCTTTCTCTTTTTCAGCACAGACGGACACACACACACACACACACACACACACACACACACAGATAGATGCACAGACACACAGTCTTAATAGTAATGGCAGAATCCAGAAAATTACTAAGGTTTCTTGATTCTAACAAGACCTTTCTTTAAATTGACACATTCAAAGATTGAATTATTTGTTGCAGCTTTTGTCCTGGGCCAGTTAGCCTCATATTGTTTTACTTTGTTATCCTTGAATTGTTTTTTTTTTTTTTTTTTTTGAGACAGAGTCTCACTTTGTTGTCCAGGCTAGAGTGAGTGCCGTGGCATCAGCCTAGCTCACAGCAACCTCAAACTCCTGGGCTTGAGTGATCCTTCTGCCTCAGCCTCCCGAGTAGCTGGGACTACAGGCATGCGCCACCATGCCCAGCTAATTTTTTATATATATATCAGTTGGCCAATTAATTTCTTTCTATTTATAGTAGAGACGGGGTCTCGCTCTTGCTCAGGCTGGTTTTGAACTCCTGACCTTGAGCAATCCGCCCGCCTCGGCCTCCCAAGAGCTAGGATTACAGGCGTGAGCCACAGCGCCCGGCCTCTTGAATTGTTTTTAAAAATATATTTTTTTAATTGATGGCCCCAAATAATAAAGAGGAAAAAACACCCTAACCTTGCCAGCATAACAGATGAACTGGTTGACTTTTTCCCTATTCCTTTCATGGCCCTGTCTATATATGTCATCCTTGAGTGTGGTCTGCTACTGTTGCTGTTTGTTTTGCTAAGCTGGGTGAAGTTTAAGATCTTGAACTTCTCAGAGTCCTTAAGGTTTCAGCATGATCTCTGCCAAGTGGTCTGAGTCTGACTATTCATTTTTAGGCATATCATGGAGCATCTAGAAGGTGTCATCAACAAACCAGAAGCAGAGATGTCCCCACAAGAACTGCAGCTCCACTATTTCAAAATGCATGATTATGATGGCAACAATTTGCTTGACGGCTTAGAACTCTCCACAGCCATAACTCATGTCCATAAGGAGGTAGGTGCGGCAGTGGCTTGGGGGGGCCGTATCTTGGAATGGCTCCCTTTGGTTCTTGATCTTGATGACCTGTGCTGTCCTTGGGCATCAAGAGTGCTGCTTCTCCTTTCTCTGCCCTGTTATGCATCTTCCTAATCAACGGTCCTTCCCGCAAAGGGTGGGTGACCTGTTGAGGCAGAAGCCTCAGGGCTGGGCATTCGTATCTTTACAAATGCTGCAGGTATTTCTGCTACACACCAGGGTTTGAGAATCAGGGCCTAAAAAGACAGACCACAGTCAAACTGCAGAGCAGGGGAGGGGTTACTTCATTTACGGAGAATGGTGAATCTAGGACCGAGGGACGTGGCAGTTGTTGAGGGTTTGTGTGATACTGTACAGTGCTCCATAGTTTCCACAGCACTTTCAGGTAGGTTAGAGATCTCGTTTGATCTTTGCAACAGCCCAAGTAGGCAGGGATAGGCATTGTTATTACTCCCATTTTCTAGGGAATAGAATGAAATCAAGATCTTGTTCCTTGAGGCGGGGCGAGGTAGCTCACACCTGTAATCCTAGCATTCCAGGAGTTGAGGTGGGAGAATTGCTTGAGCTCAGGAGTTTGAGACCAGCCTGAGCAAGAATGAGACCTCGTCTCTACTAAAAATAGAAAGAAATTAGCCAAACAATAAAAATAGAAAAAATTAGCCAGGCATGGTGGCACGTACCTGTAGTCCCAGCTACTCGGGAGGCTGAGGCAGAAGGATTGCTTGAGCCCAGGAGTTTGAGGTTGCTGTGAGCTAGGCTGATGCCACGGCACTCAACAGAGTGAGATTCTGTCTAAAAAGAAAAAAAATCATTTGCCTCCAGATTTCATGTGACCCCTCTCTGCCATACTGCCCTTTGTTAAGAGGAGGGGAGGCAAAGTTGGTGAGGTGGGTGTGATCACACTGGCCGCCAGAAGTGTAGGTTGGGGTTGGCTTGAAGGCAGCAGGGAGTGCTGTTTTGCACAGGCAAATGGCATTGTTTTGGGAAGATTCTTTGCTGTGGGAGGCAAACTGATGGATGTGAGGATGGATGGGAATAGCATTAAGGAGAGGAATTAAGATTCAACGGTCCTGGCAGACGAGGCTGGTGGATATGGGAAATATGGCAGAGTAAGAGCCAGCCACAGATGTGAATGGCCTTAGCTTAGCCTCTGGCATGGTGAGCCCTGCTGCACCTGCTTCTGGAGCAAGGGAAATACTTTCTCCTCAAAGATCATACAGCAGGTTCTACTGGTTGGCAGTGCCTTCTTGCTCTTGTTTTGATGCCAAGATGTCCAATTGTCATTGTTTTCACTTTATCAAGCAAATTGTGCACAGAGCTGACCCTTGAGAGGGCTTGGACTTTTCTCTAGGATGGGTTTGTGTGTCATGGAATCTGTGAAACTCATAATTATCTGTATGCCAGACCCAGCTTTGTACAATGAACATGTGTTGCTTCTGTAATTAGAAAAGGATGAAGAGGAATTTTTAAAACAAATAAGCAAGAGCCTAATTTGAAGGGCCTTCTTTTAACTGGCAAATGTAATTTCTAAATTGGATTATTATAAATTTACTCTATATCTGATACATAGATTTATGAATGCCTATTTCTAGCCATGTACTACATTGAAAGAGTTTTTGGACATGCATAAGCATGGACATTTTGGACATTAGCTAAGCACTTCTTCCAGTAAAATGTGCAACTCATCATTATCTACTTTATATTTTGTAGGAGGGGAGTGAACAGGCACCACTAATGAGTGAAGATGAACTGATTAACATAATAGATGGTGTTTTGAGAGATGATGACAAGAACAATGATGGATACATTGACTATGCTGAATTTGCAAAATCATTGCTGTAAACATTATTTGGCCATCTCCTAGTTATATGCAAATGTGACCTGTGACAATGTGATTGAACACTTTGGTAATGCAAAATAACTCATTTTCAACTACTGCTGCAGCATTTGGTAAAAACCTGTAGCAATTTGTTACAGTGGGGTGAGAAAGAAGTCAAAAGAAATAGAAGAGAAATGGGACATCTTGTACTCCCAAGTACTGTTAAATCTCTTATTGGACAGGGCTTGCTTAAAGCATCTTTTTAAGAATATTGGATAATTGGAGCTGAGTACTCAGGAACTTGATTGTAGTAAAATACTGCTAGTTTCTTAATTTTAAATCATGCTACCTGAGAAGTAAGAAAACAAGCTTTGCCAAGTTGACACACTTTTCAGCACTTTTCAGTAACAGTGAAGGAATGGAGTAAATGCCAAATGTTTCCCTTGGCCAGGTCCTGTCTCTTCAGGTGAAGATGGTCAGTATTCTGTAAATTTCCCCTGGTCTAAATGATTACTTGCTCTGGGTAAGTGGATATTTATTAGGCTATTTCAAAGCCACAGTATAAGAAGAATGTCAAATGTTCAGTTCAGTTGGCCACAGAGTCTAAGATTCTGTGTCCTCTGGCATTTTGGAAATGATATACCACTGGCCGAAGTGATTAACTTTTTTTCAGACTTTTCAGTGTTTTATACAACTACTGCCACATCCTTCTACTTTCTTTTTTGTCTTCTATCTGGGAGAGACCTTGAATTTAATCATGTTCTCTAATCAGTAGTAATGTTTTAGCTTTCTTAATATTTGTATTTCACTGTTGTTTGCAGGGTTTTGTTTTGCAGTTCAGGAAGTGTTAGGAATGTGAGGACTTGAAACAGCAGGGACAAAGCTACTAGCTGCTCTAGCCTAAGTGGGAAGTGACAAGATCATTCACTGAATACAGTGATTAACCTGATACAAGTTCTATTTAGAAGGAATGTTGTTTAAATTATCACTTCTTGCTTGAATACATGGATTCTTTTCAAATCAGGAAAGATTTTTAGAAAAGGAAGCCTCAAAACTCTTTAACAGTATGAATCTCAATAAGATTTGAACGTGAGAAGCAGTGCAGAGTGTAATTTGGTTTATTGGCTCTGATGGATGTGCTGTAACAGAAAACCCAAAATGGTGGTTGAATGGGAAAAAGAAACTTCATAAAATTTGCTGTAAGATGTATAGAGACTTATTTTCTTTATTAAAAGTATTCTTATAAGAAAACATATGTATTTGTAAAAATGGTTTCCTGTGTCAAGTATTTGTGCAATCAGAGCTGACTTGTAAACTATTCTTGTAATATTTCATTATTTTGAAAGATTTATATGATGAATTCTGGATATGTGACCAATAAAACTGCTGAAACAAACTAGAGTAGTTGGTTCTGTCCACATAGGCTGCTTCTGCTACATAAAGGATTTGATTGTTTAACACATGTGTTTGTATGTGTCTACTGTTCAGGTCCTGTGACTGTGCTCAGCTGTACCCTGCTCCTTTTGCAGAGGTAAATTAGACATTTTTCTTCTGAATGAAATCACTTTTGGATCTTTATTCTCCAGCCAAATTCTGATTATGACAACATTCTCTAGTTTAGGAGAATACATAGTGTTTTCTTCTTGAGTCTAGTGACTATTTGTTCTTCCCCAGAACATTTAATTGATAGCATTATTGAAAACATCCTAGGCCCAAGCAAAATACACAGTCTTGCCTGACATTTGGGAATGACACACTTAGTTGATAAGGAAGTTACCATTGCCTTTTCTTTCACCCCAAGACCCTTGGACCGTACTCTGGCTCTTCTTCCAGAGCTTCCCCTCTGGATGGGTCTAGTGAACAGGGAGGAAGAGAAGTAGATGTTGAGAAGATAGAACCAACCCTTTAAATAAGCCTGGAACACCTCCTCCTCTATGGCTGGCTGCTCTTTGTAATTATCCCATGCTGGCCTTTGTGGTCCTGCTTATCTGCCTTTCCTTCTAGAAAATCTCCCTGTAGAGTGGCCTGGGACATTAGGAAGACAGCATGGTTTGCAGTTCCCTGCACACACCCTTTGTCTCCCCTATGTGAGGCCTTGGCCTTCTCTCATAGCCTGCCTCAAGAATTTTCCAGAATGGCTAAGGAACATCCCTGCACTTCAGTTTCTTTATCTCTAAAATAGGGATAAATTCCTTCAGGAAAGGCGGCCTTACATGAAGAAAGAGCACAAGCTTTGAGCTCAGGCAGACCTGAGTTGAAATCCTAGGCCTGCTACTCCTTAGCTATGAAGCTTTTAGACTTTAGGTTCTTGTCTAAAAACTAACTATAATAAAAGTTACCTACAGAGTGATTAAGAGATTAACAAAATGAGAGAAAGTAGATAAAGCACTTGATATAGTGCCTGGCAGGTGCCAGATGAACAGCCTTCTGTTCCCCAGCCTGCCTGAAGAGCCCAGGCCTTCTCCTCAGTGAAGAGTGGGGACTGGGGGTCTGTAATGGAACCCATGACTCATCAGGGGCAGGGGACAAAGGTCTTCTCTGCTGCTTATATTCCTCCATATGAATGCTGAGTGAATGCATGGATGAATGAATGAATTCTCTCTCAAGGGAGAAACTAAGGGTCTCGTGAAGAAGTGCCATAGTGAAAACAACAAAAGCAATGAAGTAGGAGCCAGACCAAAGGAGCTTGCGTCTCCTGACAGGCGACTTCGGTGGGCTCCTGGTCTCCTGACAGGTGACTTTGGTGGGCCCTCCTCCACCTTGACGGAATCCAGACGTTGCCTGAAGATAGCAAGGCGGAGGAGCTCTCAGCTTGGGAATGCCAAGCAGGAAGAGTAGGGATGAGGGGCTGTGCTGAAAACAGACCTGTCGTGACCCATATGTGATCACGAGCAGCAGACGGCCAGCAGACAGGCTCGTGTGCCCTGGGAATGAGGTTAAAAAGTTATTTTTCTGGAGAAACTGAACTGGCCCCAAGGAGAGGACTTCCAAGCCCTGATATTTAGGGATTCCTATGAAAAATCTGGCTGACCACCTGCTCCCCCAGTAGAGAAGCCACCAAACTGAGCCCATCCACACCCTGATAGTGTCTAATCAGCATGTTCATGTCTACACTTAAATATGAATGGATTCCTTAGGATCATAAGACAGTTGGAGGAACCTTTTAAGGTGAAAGAGACAGAAACCAAAACAAACTGAGAAAAGGAGCATTGAAGAAACTGAGATAATGCAGGGAATAGCAGATACCTTTAAAAAATTATCATCAGTGCTCTCAGAGAAGTGAGAATGGATGACATCCATGAAACAAAATTAAGATGCCAATAAAAAAAGGAACAATTGGAAAAGAGAATCTAGAAATAAAAAATGTCATACTCATCCCTCCCATGTTTTTTATTAAAAGGGTTAACAACAGGTCAGAGAAATCTCCTAGGAAATAGAACAAAAAGACAACTAGCTGAGCAATAGCAGAGAAAGGATAAGAAAAGAGGCTCTATTAAGGATATTCAATATCCAATGAATAAGAAGTTATTAGGACGCAAAAACAGAAAATGTGACTGGGGGAAGTAACCCAAACCAACTCAAACTAGAGTTAGAAACAAGTGAATGGGTAGGGGAGATGGGAAGGTAAGAATTTTTTTTTTTCCTATTGCCTTGATTGTGGTGAGGGAAGGTGAGAATTTGTTGGCCACGCTACTGAGCTTGCTTCAGACCTGACCCAATTCTGGAGCTGACCTGCCGCCAGGATCTGCCCTCCTCATCTGTCCTCTACCTCCAGGTCTGCGGCTGCTGCCTTAGCTCTGTTCTCGGGTTCCACACAGGGGCAGGGCGGCAGCAGCTCAGAGCATGGGTCTCAGCTTCTAGTCCATCAGAGAAGAAAGCCCGCCTCTGGGCCCTCTGTCCTAGGTGGCTGTATGGCCTAGTGCTAAGAGAGTGAACTCTGGCGTCAGACTGCTTAAAGTGAATCCTGGTTTTGCCACTTAGTAGCTGTGTCATTTTGGCATGTTATGTTACTTGATGCCGCCGTGCCTCAGTTTCCTCCTCTGACAATAGGGATAATTATGATGGAATCACCTTATCTGGCCGCTGTATTAATTGAATTAACATATATGAAACCCTCACAACAGAGCCTGGACAGAGGAGCACTTTATCAGACGCATTCAGAATTACTATTCGGAGTCCATCCTGAACCGATTACCAAGACCAGAACCATGCCACATGGGCCCGCTGGCTCGGGCCTTGGTTCAATGCTGCATCCCCAGTGAGCGGCCGGAGCCCCACCAGTAATGAACTGACTGACAGTGGGAGGAAGCATATCAGGGAGGGACATCAGTACCATTTCCAGAAGGGGAGCGTGGGAGCTGCTGTGTAGCCTGTCACAGGGTGATCGGCAACGGACTAGTCACTTCCTCCAGAGAAGTCTCCTTGCTGTGCAGTGGTCCGGCCCCGTGGCTCTGCTGAGACCATTACTGCAGTGTATTTGAAGGCACAGGCCTCCAGCAGAGCAGTCCGGGGGGCTGTGGGCGCCCCGCCTGTTCCCGCCTGTGCCCCCACTGCCAGCACGAGACGGAGCTGTGTTCTTTACTCTGTCAGCATGTCATCATCTCATTTTGGCCCCTGACTGCCTGGAATCACTCACTTACCTCCCAAGACCAAACAATCCTTTTCAGACACAGTCCAAACTAACACCATTTTAGGAAAAAAAATTGTTCAGCTATGCAAGGCTATGCCAGGGCCATTTGAACCAACCTATACCTCTCAACATCTCAACTCAAAGCGTCTACACTGGGGTTGCTTCTGCCCAGTCCAGGCATTCCCTAGGAACTCTGAATTGCCCCAGATACTGACAGAGCTCCTTATGGGGCTGCTTCCTAGCAATAGGGAAGATCTGCCTACAAAAGCTGTCACCCACCCAAGTCCCACAGCCAGGAGGAGAGAATGGAGCTATGCCAAGGACACACAAGAGAGACTGGAGAATCGAGAGGGCGGGCAAACGGGAAGGTCGGCCATGCCTTGGTCTGTGGCCGGGACCCAGAGGGTCACCAGGGCACTGAATTGCGGCCAGGGAAGGTCCACAGGGTGTTGTGTGAGGATAAACCTTTAGCAGGCAGAAGTCAAAGGAGGAGAGTCTGGATGTCAAATGTAACTGAGTTTTACAATAATGCTCTTGATATCATATAACTGTGACATCTTCACTTTCCCACTCTGTGCTCGACTATACAACTGTAATTCACTCTCTCGCTTCTGGTGCTATAGGAATAAAATGCTGGTATTTTATTATGAAAATAATACATTTTCATTAAAGGTAATTTGAAAATACAGAATAGATAATGGTCTCATTGTTCAATGTAGCCCCTCAATTGTGTTGCACCTCCTTTTGATCTTTTTTTTTTCTTTTTTGCTTTTTACATAGCTGTAATCATGATATTTATACAATTTTATGGGGTTTTTTTCTTTTTTTTTTTTTGAGACAGAGTCTCGCTTTGTTGCACAGGCTAGAGTGAGTGCCGTGGCATCAGCCTAGCTCACAGCAACCTCAAACTCCTGGGCTCAAGCAGTCCTCCTGCCTCAGTCTCCCAAATAGTTGGGACTACAGGCATGCCTGGCTAATTTTTTCTACATATATTAGTTGGCCAATTAATTTATTTCTATTTATAGTAGAGACGGGGTCTCACTCTTGCTCAGGCTGGTTTCAAACTCCTGACCTTGAGCGATCCGCCAGCCTCGGCCTTCCAGAGTACTAGGATTACAGGCGTGAGCCACCATGCCTGGCCCTATGGTTTTTTTTAAATCAAAGACATGCTCATGCATTCAGCCTTTTCTATTTTTACTATTATTTTTGAGCAAATTTAATTACTGAGGTTTGAGCAACTTTAAGCCTTGGTAAATATTGTTAAATTGCTGTCCTAAAGAGTTATGCTAATTAATACTTCATTCACAGTGTATATAAAGAACATATTTCCTTTAGCTACACCTATAGCATATCCTAACAGATTTCCCTAAACATAGAGCACCCAGACATTAGTACTCATAAATGTTTGGTCAAAATACTACTGTATACACTAGCACTATACATATCTACCATTTTATTCAGTTGTGTGTTTGTCCATTTGCTGATTCATTAATTGGATATTTATTGTGTATCATGTAACTTCTTTGGTCTAGCTTCTGAATTTAAATACCTTCTGAAGAAGAGAAAAAGAAGGCTTTTATGATTATGCCAGGGTTCCCCTAAGAATACAATCATCAGAGGACACAGACATGTTTTTGCACAGCATCTTCAATAAAAACAAGAGCTAAGTCACATTTATACCTCAAGAGGGAAAGCATTATGTTAATAACTCAACCAAATAGCTAACATTTCAACCAGGGAATTAATAGTAGAAACTGTGAACATTA